GTCCTTTTTTCGAAGCATGCGCGTTTATACATTTGTCATGCTGATTCCATCGTCACCTGGCAGTTGAAGCTGGGGTTGTACTGGAGCTTATCAGATCTTTTGGAATCGCAAAGAGTAAGCATGTAAAGGGGCTATGCGAAATGAATCAGTGGTATCGTATTCAAAATTGACGTGATGAGCATTATCTATCTGATTTGCATGTATCCTACATATGTCTACTGGAATACAGCAACCTTGTCTCGTCCGGCACCAACGGCCTTGATCCGCGATCCAATCTCCAGCGGACTTCCTTCACTCACAATGAAATGTCCCTTTGTCTGAGCTTCTGGCAGCTTGCCTCCAAGAATCTTGTGCACATTTACGCTGACGAGATCCAGCGCCGACTTCTCGGTCAGTCGGCCGTTACCGTTGTGGTAGGCTGTGCCGGCTTCGAAGCCTAGGTCACGCACATACCAATCTTCGGGCAAGCCAATGGCGACTGTAACACCGGCATCGAGCAGGTAATCGATGGTCGTGCCATTTGACAGTGGCGCACCGGGAAGCGAGCGACGTTGGTCCCAGTTAGTAGGGTGTGCTTGAAGCGGGAGCAAGATGACGCCGACCTTTGCAGCTGCAAGTTCTGTCGCAACAAGATGAGATTCTGAACCGCCAAGAATGGCCAGCTTAATCTTGGAGTTGGTAAGCTCTTCGACCTCAGATTTGATTCTCAGTGCAGTCGCGATGCCATCGGCATTGTCAATCGTCAGAGCCAACACCGTCTTTCCGGCGATGACCTTTTGCAAGTTGGCCAACTCTGAGAAGGGATCTTCAGCTGGCTTATCCTTGGAGGCAGCGGCCAAGAGCTTGCTTCGCAACAGACCAAACAGCTGGGAATAACTGCCAAGGCTGCGAGAGCTAAGGTCAAGAGTGTAATGCACAGCCAAATCTGCGTCGAATATAGCACCATTTTCAGCGACCGTTCTTGCCGCAGTGAGGAAGCCAGCAGAGGTTCCGTGATGGGATTTGCCGCCCAAGAGTTTCGGTGCTGAGATGCCCTTGGTCACGCCGTATTTGGCGGCAACGTTGAGCTTCTTGCTGTCCAACCGAAGCCCGTCGACGGCACGAGAGAAGGCAACCGGGTTGGGTCCGTTATCCGTTACATCTTCTCCGTCGATATCGTTCAATCCAATGGTACCAGCGACACCGGTAAATGAGTTGGTAAGGTAGCCATTGGATAGCTCGACATGTACCTTGGCAGCCTTGGCAGCCGCCTCATATTCGGAGCTGCATGGGCCGATGCAGGCAATCTTGCCTCCAGAGACAAACATATCCAAAGGCTTGTCGTTGGACTCCAAAATCTCATCGTCAGATAATAGGACTTTGGTGATGCCATGGAAAACGACATCCTGAATCTCGGTTGGCTCTTCGATGATATCAGCCAGCGCCTCATTAGGCACTATGGGGCCCACCGTGGATTTCGAGAGCTCAACCGGGTTCTCAAACTGCGCGGTGCCATCAATCCACACTTGAACGGGGGTGGCTCCGACGCTCAAAGGGTCGCTGTCCCAAATGACAATATCGGCATCGAAACCCGGCTTGACCTTTCCTAGTCTCTTTCCAAAACCAAGCAGCTCTGCAGGCGCGCTGGTGACGGCAGAGAGAGCGGCGTGATAGGGCAGCCCGTAATGATAGCCCTTGGCGGCCTCAAATAGGACGTGCTGGGCATTGAGAACGGGGTTATCGCTGACATATACAGTGGTAAGGTTGGCGTCGTAGAGATACTTGCCGGCGTGCTCAGACGCTACGAAGGCCTCAGTCTTGTAGTACATGTTGTCGGCAAACAGGGCAGACGCGGGTGGCCGGCCTCCCCACGTGCGTTTCAGGATCTATAACCAGTTACCAAGGTCAGGCTTTGTCACATCAAAATTGTATCTGAATTCACGTACCTCAGTAGCTAGATAGGTTTGGTGAGCATGGTGGAAGGCCCGAATAGCAAACTTGAACTCGTTTGTATGATCTACCATGGCCTCGAGGTCGGGAACGGTGTAGCAGTGAGTGTTGATATGGACCTGGCCACGAAGAGCTGCGGCAAGGGACTCCCAATGCAACACCTGTGGCAAGTACTCGTCCATGTTCTCAACACCAATGGCATCGGCCTTGTCACACCAATCATCCTGGCGCTGGATCAGGGCGCGGGCCTCTTCAAAGGCGTGTCGAAAGTTGTAGCTTTCGCCCATGCGGCTGGAGGGCCGCCTGTCGATACCTCCGTGCACTCTCTTTGGGTTCTCTCCGCAGGCCATCTTCATGTATCGCCAATTACGGTCGGGGTCAGCCAGCATATCCTGCGCGCTAATTTCTTTTCGACCGTCTTTGGGGCCAACAGCATGCTTGATGGGATAAGCTTCACCGCCTATGCTATTACCGGAACCAGGAAGGATGAGCGAAGTGGTGACGCCGCCGGACTTGATGACTTCGATCTGGGGATCCAAAGGATAGAAGGCATCAATAGATCGTGCCCATGGGGTGATGTCGTCGGAGACTTCATTGGTATCGGCGTAGCCACGCAGGTATGGCAAAGAGTCGACGCCAGCATGGCTGTGCATGTCAATGATGCCAGTGGTGAGCTGACGCCCTGCAGCATCAAAGATTTGAGTGCCTTGTGGGAGCGCTCGTGACGAGATGTGAGATCCGACCTGTTTAATGAGGCCATACTCCAGCAGTACATCGCCCTGGATCCATTCCCAGCCTTTGCCGGCTCTGGCATCGGCCTCGCTGGTGCCCTCGACGGGCTCGCCAATCCAAATGGTAGCGTTCTTGATGAGGGTAGGCTTGCTACCTTCGATCCATCTGGCGTTCTTGTCTCGCCCTAGACCGATGGGATCTTGCGGCTTGTGCCTGAGCTTCTGGCAGGTCTGTAGATCATCGTTAAGCTTGTCCAGCGACAGCAGCGGCCCTTTGGTATCCTCTCGCCAGATTTGCTTCCATTGCCCGGCCACCAGGAGCGTCAGACAAGTGGCGGCGAATAGCTTCAAGACACGAGACCGGCGGAATCCAGCGCGGCGAGCGCGGAAATGCGCATCTCCAGACGCTGGCAGTGGGAGCCCCGACACGCTGTAGGGAGGAAGACAAGCTTTTTCGTCCATGGCTCTCCCAGTCCTTTGGATGGCGACTGAGGAATGGGGAGATGAGAAAGACGACAGCGATAAGAAAGGAAGAAGAAATTGGTGAGTTGAAGATCAACTCCTTGCACGGAGTTTGTATGTAATCGCCAGCTTCACCTCTCTATCAATTCCATGTTCTGTTTCATCCAAAGATAAGAGCTCCAGCTCCGAGATAGGTCAAGTCCCGCTGCTGCTCGCGGGCTAAGCCGCATTTTGCAGCAATGGGCGCTGGATGGGGCCGACCCGGGCCTATCAGACTCGCCACAGCAGCGCCAAAAGTTCCCGTCTGCAGGGGCCTTGCGGGGTAGCAGGTGCTAAGGCACAGCGCTAATGTCCTGTATCACGGCCAAGGTGGGCCTGTCCTCGATGCCATCATTTTCGTCATTCATGGCACACACACACACTCACTCACACAGCTTGGGGTTATATGGAGTACTATGTATAGTTCCATGTACAAATGGGGAGCCAAGTATGGTTAGATTGTCGCTTACATGTACAACAGTGTGATGGTTTGATATTACTTTGAAGAGGACATCAAGGTTCACGGTCTAACACTTGACACTATTACTACATGTACTGATCGTCTGTGTCAGCTTGAGGCTGCCCCGTCCAATACACCATCGGTGTATGTACATGCACATATATGCATGTGCTTGATGCATGAAATAAGTGTTAGTGGCTGGTGATTGCATGGCTACGGGGTATGTAGATATATAGTGATTATTATAGACACGTTGTGTATACCCCTTCTGTACGATTGACTCTGTGTGTAAGTGATCACCTGCAATTTGTATCTAAGTTAAGATCATGCACTCATGAACAATCCAATGCAATTTCTTCGGCTCAGGTATCCTGCTAGCTATATCATGAGATGTCAAAGTTTACAGTTTCGAACTTAGTAGTATAGTAATAGTCAAAGTGTCACCTTATAAATACATGTACCCTCATGTAAGTTTGCAGATTTGCGTAAGATCAGGTATGTACAGAACCCACGCAAGCCACGTATGACCGACAGGTCAATTGTAGAAGAACCGTAATTCTTCCTCTTGAATGAATAATACTCATATTCATTGCTTAGGTCCAGCATTTGGTATGGAGGTTACATCCACCCACATATTATGCTGTGGTGGCCGTGCGCTAGCTGGCGATCAATGTCAACTGCGCTCCAATTGAGTTGTGCAATTCCAAATCTGACAGCCATATTCGGCATGTATATATCATTCTGTGGCAAATCAGGAGGCACTCTTAAAGTCTTGTAAAGATCAAGTTGTTTTATGGAGTACAACACCTCCGATAGTTTGCCTCTTTTGTTACTATCGCCAGAATCTCTCGGATCATTCGGTCTCTGCCAAGGCCCAGCGGATCTTTGGGGCACCAAAATCTTGCTTTAAGGGATATCTCCAGCGAATGATTTCAATTCATGCGGACACATGTAATAAATGCTTCATACCGTATTTAATACGAATAGCAGTACTCATGAACATGTCAGGCCATTTCGTCGCCTTGTCTTACACCGACAAACCCCGCTGCGTTTCCACTTCGCTTTACAATCAATATTGGCCGCTACCCACAAAGTTTGACTTATTATTCAATTGGCTAGTATCTAAGTCGAGCCAAGAAATAAGCTGAGTTGAGATTCCAGAGCGCCCGGTGGCGGTAGGAATTACGGCTTTAAACTGGCCGTAAAACACCGCCTCCTGAGCAGTATCCACTGCCCGCAGCTTATAAGGCATACGAGTAGACATGATATGTTTCTGAGTCGAGATCAAAAGTCTACTTGCCATCTATCCAGAATTACAGACGAACACTTCCCTGGAGCAACATACATACGCATCAACCAAAGGCATTCATCTATCAAGAATGGCTTCCAACACCAAAATTGTTGGGGAACTCGTATATACAAGCCTCAACGTCCCCCCAAAACAGTACCAAGATGTATACCGCAGCACTCTAGAGCCTATTCTTCTGGCCCGACCAGGCTTGATCTTGGCCATGGCTGGCGTCGTCACTGCAAGCACAGATCAACAGAGTCCCACTGTAGTATCGTTGGTTAACTGGGAGAGCGTGGATGCTCATGTAGCGTTCATCGTGGGCCCGGCGGCAAAACCCTTTTTCGAAGCTTCTATGCCCCTGATGAGTGCAGCGCCTACCGTCGAGCATTATGGTATCAGTGTCCTTCGAACGCCTGCCGTTGAGAGCCGGTACACACGTTTGCTGAAAGCCACCAATGATGGCGACAGGGAACTCTTGGCAAGGATTCACGAGAAGCATGTGGCTACTGAGGGGGCAGACATGGCGGCAATTAGCGATTGTGTGGAGGATGCATCGTTGAGAACATTGATACTATTCAGCAACTCTGATAAATTTGAGGCGGCATCTGATGTCTCGAATGGTGGCACCAACATCAAGTCCTATACAATCGAGTGGTATGCAAGAGGGGTAAAGAGCGAATAGCAGGTCCTATGTTATGGATGGAGATATCCGCGAATATATTGTTTTATTTAATCTTCAGACCAATTCCATTCACACTGCATGCAGAGATGATATAGTACTGGAATGATCGCAGCATTGTATATGAGATATAGTGTCTGTTGCGTCAACCAAAGTTATGGCTCAAGAGATCTCAGCGCAAAAGTATCCGATGGACGATCCTAATTATCACACCACATCGTGTGTACTCGTAATAGAGAACTTTTGTTTTATTGACGGGTTTATATCTCTATTGGATCACTTCCGTCTTTATATCTATCAATGAACCCATGTATTCTTTTATCATAGCACCCATCACAAGCCGCTGCAACGCAACTCTCAAGACTACCGAAGTAGAATCTCTTCCCCGTAAGACCTGGCCCATAATGTGCATATTTTGCCGAATTCGTCATGATCACCTTCGCAGTTCTTGGAATCACCGGCTCTCCAACCATGCACCAACATGTGTCCGTAATGATCTGAACTCCGAATTGTTCCAGTTCTTCAACAAGTCCGGCTTGGCTTGCCAGTCCATAGGTTGCTCTTCCGCATGTCACCATGATAGCGACTCGATGATGCTTTTCCCGCCCTCGACAAATATCCGCCAGTTTTCTCATTTCGGCGAAAGAGAAATGAGGGTTTCCAAGTGAGACGAGATCAACAGGTGAATCGTCTTGTGCGCTGTTGAGCGTCTTCCAAACCGACTCGAGCTGCCTCAAATCAAGATGAACGGATTCAATGCCGTCTCTCCCGCCAGTCGCATCCTGCAGTGTGGCAGCTTCTGGCGTCACACCAACGATATGAAACATTGGAGCACTTGCCATGGTAGCAAATGCCGCCCCGAATGCTTTCAGATCATCTGTTGAGGGATGAAGAACGTCAAGCCCTACAATAACCGGTATGCGATTCCCAGCAATTCCACCAACATAGTATCCCAATAACGGATAAAGCGAATCGTCAACATCATCTTCCCGAAGAACAGGAAGCTCAACACAAAGTGAAGCCCGCCTGTTGCTCTCTATGTGCAATCCTCCCTGTGGTGCGCGCCCCGTCAGCGCAATACATATGTCCAGAAAGTCAGGATACTTCATAGTCTTCGCCCCCAGAACGCTATTAGCATATACAACGGCATTAGACTCCGCCCATGCAACTTGATCGCCCTGCTTGGGTGCGCTAGGAAGCAAATAGGGGGCGCAGGTAAAAGTCGGCAGTGCACCCATGTCTGTGTAAGCCGTGGCCAATTTTTCCGCCGCTTCACCAAATGTAGATGCAACGCCCTGAGCGCGCCAACGCCTTTGATCCACGGATATCGAGTTGAGAGTGGTGGGAACCGAGACTTTGCCTCCCCAGTCACGTAGTCTTTCTGCAAAGCTGAGCGATCCCGGGCCAGTATAGACACAGCCATCTATATGAACTTGTGTGACGTCTATTAACTTGCAAGCTCCTTCCATGGCGGCCATGCGTAAGATGATTCGCATGGCAGCTTGAGCTGCTTGACCATGTAGCCCGTTAAGAAACGCATGGTCTTTATCAGACAACTCAATGTTGTATCCAAGAGTTGTATCCAAAGCTTTCGTAGTAACGTGCTCAAAGCTTTGTAATGCACCCTCATGCTGTACTTTCGCAACTGTGTTTCCACTCACAACCACGTAACTGGCATCAAGCAGCTCTTCGAAGTCTTGCGTCTCTAAAACAACAACCGGAATAGACTTGTGAAAAATCTCTTCCGCAACTACTACCCCAAGAGTAAGGATGTCTTCCCTTCGCGAGAATATCAGACCCTTTGGCCCTCTACCACTTAGCAACAGCTCTAGCAACACCCCACTGCCGGAACAAGAGCCGCGACCACCGGGAATGGCTAGTATGGCATCTTGGAGGAGTTTTCCGCTTAGTGGATGATGATGGTCTATGACTTCGCTTGTCAGCGGATCAACGCCTCCCCAGAAGCTCAGCTCAAGGTTGCTTGCGACGAGCGGGCCAGAGGCGTTGCCTTGAACGTATGCAGTTCCATGGTACAGCAACTTGTCTTGAGTCATTTCAAAGTGCCTTTTCCTGTCAATTAAGCATGAGGTTTTATTTCGCTCAAGTTCTGTTTTTAAACGGCATTCTTAAAATGATGCGTGCGTCCTCGACGATAGGCAGATGGAACCTATTGTGAGTTAGACAAAAAATACTACAGAAACTCGTCTTTCCCCGGAAAGATAGCCAGAGAAGCAATTGCTTGTGCATAACATAGGTAATGGTTGTCCGATTAGGAATCATTCGCTCAACATACATTCAAGTCCTCCCATCAGCTGACAACCTCCTTATTTATTGGGGGCCAGCAGGTTTACGCGGAATATCTCAGCTTCCAATCCGACGGTGTTGCAAAATGACAACGTGAATTTGCCGCCCTAAGTTTCGAGTTGGCCGACTCATGGCCATCCCCCTCCCCGTCGGCCCACTTTGCCGTTGTATAACTACGGAGTGGCCACCAGGTCATCGGCCAACTATTTTAGCTCAATGCTGCCTTCGGAGTTCATTGTCAGGAATTCGCTAACAAAAAGGGAGCTGGGCCCGTAATCAATTTATTAAGCCATCCACGAAAAAAAGGTTCGAAACAGCATAAGAGAAACACAACGCCCCGCCGTTAAGCCCCTTTCGAAAGAATGCCTTGAACAAAAATATATCATCCCTCCGTTTTTCTCTTTTCTTCCCTCGAAGTTTTCTAGAAAAAATGACAATCCTGATAAGAAAGGCCACCGAGGAAGAAATCCCCGCCATCGCGCGGCTCGCCGGCCAAGCGTTCCACCCAACAACCGATTGGATCACGCGCCAAGTCTTCCCGCTACACCTCCAGCCGAAGGACATTCCCGATGGAGAAGCATCGCAGCCGTGGCGCCGGCTAAAAAAGACTGTAGGCTTCAGTACGCCAAACTGCGCGTTCATCGTGGCAGTGAATACCAGCCTGGACTTGAATAACCAAATCGTTGGCTATGCGATATGGGATCTGCCGGTTGGATCTTCCGAGGAATTCCCCGTCATCAACCCTGCAGACCCTGAGCTGCCGGCAGATGTGACTGATTTCAAGGTCTACGCCGAGCTCAAGACTATCCTGGAAGAAGACCATAAAGCCACATTTGGCGACAGAGGGTTAAAAGACGTGTGGCGTTCGTCATCCCCTTCCATTATCACTTCCTCTTTTCTCCTCTCTATACGTACAAAAAAGGACATGGGACCTTAACTAATGTGCAACAGATCTCGATATGATTGGGGTTGACCCACACTATCAGCGACAGGGAATTGGCAGGGCTCTTCTGACATGGGGCGTTGAGCAGGCCACAAGAGAGGGCAGAGATTGCTACTTGATGGCAACACCCCAAGGACGACCTCTCTACGAGTCTTTTGGCTTTGATATTGTGCGTCCGTTGAACATGTTTGGAGTTATGCATCATTCGATGATACTCCGAACAAGTAAAAGAACGTGAGGTGGCAACGAATGTTATAGACGGATGCTAGCCAGCGTGTACTACTACTACTAGAGGGGCTTTTATGGTTAGAAACTGTTTCAAGGGAAGAGGAGACTTCTATTATATAAACGATTTAGAGTCTTATGCTATGATAATGTCTGTCTGTATTCAACAAAACATGAATTCGTAAAGAAAGCGTCATACGTGTCCTCCACATACCCCATAACTACTTCGACAATTGCTTTACAAGTGATCTATCATATAATTAATGCCCATACAACCATGTAACCATATCTATCTTGGTACTTGAGACATCCCAAAAGGGGGGAATAAAAGAAATAAAACAAAAACATCTTCCGTGCTTGGAGAGATGCGTGACCTCTAAATCAAGTCGCTAAGTTTTTTTGGGGAGAAAAGAGAAAGCCAATTTACTCGGCCTTCTTTGACATCTTTGTTCGGAGTTTCATCAGCAGGTACACAAGGGAGTACGAGCTAAATACCATCAGTACCACGATAGCAGCATCGCGCCAGCCGTAGTAGTACTCTTTCAGGTTCAAGGTTCGGAGGTAGTCCTCGCCCTTGGTGAATGAACAGACTTGGCAGTTGGCCGTGGCATCGGGGTTGATCAGATTGGCCACAGCACCAGGACCCGCTGCCAAGTAGCTCTGCAGATAATCACCACAAGTTGTGCCGTTGGGAGGGTTGAACGTGGCAAACTCGTGAGTGGAGCACTTGATGTCCTGGCCCCAGAGATCAAAGACCAACATACTACCCATGAGATAGTTGAAGGGATTGAGCCAGTAAATCCAGTATCTCCAGAACTCTTGGATCTGTGCGTAAGGAACCAACACACCACAGAATGACACGAGGGTTCCAATCACAACGGGGTTCGCCAAGACGGCAAAGACCTCGTTGGGCGCATATGCGGCAATGAACTGACCCATACCAGTGTAGAGGAATTCGTACATGAGCATGACGAAGAAGGTCGCTCCAGCTCGCTGAGAATCTCCGGGGAAACCAACAGTGTAGTACCAGCACACAAAGTACAGGACAGCGCAGATAATGAGGTACGGGATTTCGGAGACGATAAGTGCTGTCACAAAGGCGATCCACGAATACATCTTGGACTTCTTCTCGCGCGTTTCGAAAATGTCACGGCGATGGATGAAGAGAGGTTGCAGCTGGGCAAGGACACCGGGAGCGACGAAGATGAAGTTGAAAATTGTGAACAGCTTCAGCTGCAAATCACCGACAGAGTCCTTAATCATCCAGAAACTGAAACCGTTGAAGAGAGCCGAAAAAATGTGCAGCGCAAACTTATTGTTGACATAATCAGCATTGCGGAACAAGCTAACGTTCATGCGGTGAGTGACAAGCTTGGTCTGCTCCCACAAAGACGTGGCAAACTCATGACCATCGTCCACGGTGCCGGGGGGTTTCGCTGCAGCCTCGCTGATGATTTGATCCAGTTCCTTGGTCATGTTGGAGTACTCAGGTGAGGAAAGCCAAACCTCGTTCCAATCCTTGCCTTGAGAAAGAGTTCCGGAGACGACGTCAATCATGTGCTCAGCAGGGTTCACCTCAGTCGGGCAAGGAGCATCGTAACGAGCAAAATATTCCCTGACAACGCTTGCTTGATCTCCAATCTCACCGAAATAGACAGTCTTGCCGCCCTTGGCCAATAGTAGAAGGGTGTCGAATTGAGCAAACAGCTGAGCAGAAGGCTGGTGAATCGTGACAAGAACGGCTTGGCCAACAGCAGCGAGCTTTCGCAAGAAACGGACAGTGTGGTAGGCGGATTGACCATCCAAACCAGATGTGGGCTCATCAAGGAAGATCAAAATGCTGGGCTTGGAGACAAGCTCGACGCCGATTGTGACACGCTTACGCTGCTCAACACTCAAGCCGGCACCGACTTCACCAATCAAGGTGTCGGCGATGTCATGCAGTTCCAACAGATCGATAATAGTGTTGACATAAGCTAGTTTTTCCTCACGTGGTGTATCGCGGCCCTGTCGAAGAAGCGCCGAGAACTCAAGAGCCTCTCGCACTGTAGCATACGCCTCATGCACATCAAGCTGTTCGCAGTAGCCTGCAGATCTCTGGAAGGAGACTGGGAGCGGTCGACCGTCAACCAAGATAGAGCCACGGATAGTACCTTCAGTCTTTCGCTGGGCGAGAACGTCAAGGAGCGTGGTCTTTCCAGCACCAGACGATCCCATCAAAGCGGTCAGGTTTCCAGGCTTTACCCATCCTTGCACATGATCCAAGAGGAGACGGTCACCAGTTGGGGTCTTGACAGTGTAGCACAGATCTTTCCAAGTGAATACTGAGGAGTTCCGAATGAGGTTGCCCTGAACTGCCACGGCGGTGTCATCAGTGGAGTTGCTGTCGGACTGACCGCCGCTGACGTTGGTATCATCCTTTTCTGAGATATGACCTTCAGTAACCTGGCCTTCGACGTCGGCTTGGCGCAGAGCATTGACAACCTTGGATTGCTCTCGGGGGATAACCAAACTAGGTCCATTCTCCGATGATGCCTTCCACTTGGTCGTGAAGACGATAGTGATGGTCACAAACAGAGCCCACCATGCCCAAATGATGCCAAAGTTTCGCCAAATATGCGAGTGGCTGTAAGAGAGTGATTTGAGATACAAGTCACCATCAACATAAGTCTGGCCCGGAACTGCACCTCCAACGCCAGCGCAAGCTTGAGCACCGGGGTCGGTGAAGCCGGGGCCATTGGGAACAATGTTGGTACCGACGCAAGGAATAATCTTGCCGTGGAATTCGTTGGAGAGAATGGCATCGAAGCCATAGGCCATCGGGTCAATCCAGAAGAGCCAGACAAACCATGGGTGCATTCGCGGCTTCTGAATCATGTAGCCATTGTACATGATTGTAGCGGCAATGATCAAACCAGACAGCTTGGAGGCACCATCAAAGGTACTGAAGGCGGCACCGATGGCTCTAAACATGGCGGTCATACAAAAAGTGGTGGCCACAACGATGATCCAAAAGGTAAAGAAGTGGCCCGCAGACATTGTCAAACCAACCATGAAGTAGAGAATCAGAGAGAATCCCGAGACCTGCACCAAGATGACAGGGATATCGGCCGCGATCTGAGCAAGGCAAAAGGCTGCGGGGTGGAAATAGGCAAACGATTTGTGCTTAATCAGGACAGGTCGTCCCATGAAGGATTCGGTGACCTCGGACATAGACAGCAAAGCGTTGAAGAGCAAGGCAAAGAAACAGGCACCGGACTTTACAAACAAGCCAGCAGTAGTGTCGGGAGCGTTATAGAAGAGAGAACCGGCGATAAGTGCTTGCACAATGGTCGAAAACTGCTTGATGAAAAAGGTGGCCTTGTCACCCCAGATGATCTGATACTGTCTCTTGATGCAAGTCTGTACCTGGACTCCAAAACTCACAGTAAATGAGCTCGAGGCTGGCAGTCCCTTGTACTTTTCCATGGCGACTCCTTCTTGGAACAGTTTTGTCTTGTCCTGGGCCTCCGATGTGGTAGGATAATTGTATTCAGCTCGTGCTTGCTCGAATAACGGTGTCTTCTCGTATTCATCGCGAATGGCGCCAGATGTACGGGGGAACTTGAATTTCATCTCGTCTCGGATCTTTCGCTCAGTGGGCACGGTAACACCAGTCAAGAAGTCAGCCACGTTGGCACCGTCGTCACAGATGAAGCCCATGCTCTCCATGAACGGGCGAGCCTCGCGCATGGGACCGTAGTAGATCTCCTTGCCCTCATCTAGAACGAGAACCTTGTCGAAGAGGTTGTAGATGCCGTTTCCAGCCTGGTATAAGGTGACAATTGAGGCTAAACCGAGAACATCCGTCATCGCTCGAACCGCCTTGGCCCACTCAAGAGCACTAATAAGATTGAGTCAGTGAAAACTTCTTAGTATTTTGGACACAAAGATGACACTTACGTGCTAGCATCGAGACCGCGAGTTGAGTTATCCCAGCAGAAAACGCTGCCCCTAGATGCAAGACATTCGATGATGGAAACTCGCTTCCTCTCTCCACCGGAAACACCTCTGACGAATGCGTTGCCGACCTTGGTATCTACGGTATGCTCGATACCCATAGACTTCAGTAAAAAGCTGCGCGATTCTTGGCGGATTTCTTCCTGACTTGTGATGCCGTTGGGCAACTTGTATGGGACCTTTAATCTCGTCGCAAAGTCCATAGTCTGCCCAACAGTCAGGGATGGGAAGAAGATTTCCTCCTCCGTGTTCATGATGATTTGGCCTCTGTAGCGTTTTGCTTCCTCAGCCTTCATGGAGCCAAAAGAGACATCTCCTGAAATCTGAGCATATCCACTCCGTCTATTGGCCAGCATGTTGAGTAAAGTGGTGCATCCACTTCCGGGACGACCCAGAACGAGGAGCATCTCTCCCGGCTTGACACATCCGTGGGCGTTGTCGAGAATCTTTCTCATAGGCGGCTTCTGTCGAGATTCTTTGATCAGTTTTGGGATGTTGAACTGAGAAAGAACATTTTCGTGGATAGCTGCATCGGCTCGGACAGCCTCGACGGTAAGGTTCTGGAAAGTGACACCTAGTTCTCGACGGGGAGCGCCAGAAGCACTGTCACGCTCTTGGATGGCGACAACTTCGGGCTTCATAGACCAGTTATTGTCGACGGAGTTCTTACGAGTCTCCGACATGTTGACGTCTGTGAGTGTCTCATCGTACGTGGACTTCATGATGATCCCAAGTCCGTGTTAGTGGCGATAGACCACTAACAAAAGGACTATAGCAGGATGTTGGTGAAGCGAGAGTGTGGGTTGTGTTTGAAACAAGACTCAAGAACAAAGAAGAAGAAACCGTCTCGAAGAAAAAGCTATCATTTAAAGAGCCCCAGCTTCAGCCGTGCCTCGTTGGCAAAACACGATATTGAGCCAATTTGGTGGACCTCGGCCCTGACAAGAAGACCGAGACGGGGCCCGGCTTCGCCTGTACGAGTAATCCCAAAAAAAGCCATGGCCACGATGGAGCTGGAAGGATGAGTGATGTGAGTCAACCAATGGAGTCGTAGGATCTGTATCAGGACTTGAGCCAAAGGTCCATCCACGCGGCCTAGAGACACGGAGGCGGAACGTGCCAATCAAGCTCGCTTCCGTTCTTTGTCTTCGCACTCGGATAGCCGCCCCACGAGCTTAAATTCCCCTGACGCCCGTTCCGGCTTGCCGCCATTTCGCTGAGATTTCAACGTTCCGCTTAGTCATTTCGATAAACTGCATTCGGCATGTGGTGGGCTTGGAAAATCATGGGCCATCCTCGATGCCCCGAGCACTTGATGCCAAGCGGGAGGTGAAGCGGTAGTTGGACGCTTCCGCACTACTGGTACTGGTCCCTGTAGCAATGATCACGGTAGTATCAGCTAGGGTCCAGCTAGATCTTGCTCTGACGAACCACATCGTGCAAACCTGCGTACCCTGGAGTTGGATAAGGCAGATTGGTAGCATCGCCTATTCCCTTTCCCGGCCACCTACATTGCCGGATCTTGCTATGATGCGAGCACTTCATTTTGGAATTGATTGCCTGCCACATGGTAGTCGGAGGATGTGCCGTTGGTGAGTTGAAGGTGTATCGGATTTGAGCATCGCATCCTCCCAAAGAACTACTGTACTGAGAATGTTTCATCTTTCATCCCATCGCTGTAACGGCGTACAATCTCCCCAGACGGTACTGTAGCACAGCGTACTGTCATCGCGGGTGCTGTGACTCCATCGTCGGGGTCGCGGCTCGTTCAAAGTGCCGCCCTTCTAGAATGCCGCTCGCCCAGCTCCAGCTCCAGCTGTACTTGGCTTGACTAAGCGGACAAATCCCTTTCACGAGCTCTCCCTCTTTGTGCCAAAGTCTCCGGATGTCGTCAAAGGTCATTGTCGTATTACCAAGCCACGTTGCTCTCGGCCGAATGCAGGAGCTGCTGGCGCCCCCGTATGTATGAGCATTGCAAATCAAATCGGCATAATCAAATCATCCCCCCAAAGGATTACTTACAACCCCCGAAGGATCCCGGCAGCATCAAAGCCTTATCGCAGCACATGCTTGGCCCAGTTCTGCTGCGGTTGTTCCGATTATCTGACAGCCAATATTCCGACGCCATGCGTCACGTCGGCACTACTGCCTCCGGCTAAACCCTGGCTCGATCCACCTCAGCGCTACTAGCGCCTGCTCGGACAGGCCCGCTTGAGCGAAACCTCCGCTGAGTCAGCAACTCACAACCCCGAGCGCAGCGCATCTCGGGCTGTCAGCCGAATCGAAAAGCCTATTCCATGTCCGAAGCAAAAGATCAATTCCCTCCGAGACCCTCATATTACCGAAAGCATCTGCCTGTTGCTTGATAGCATTGATTGCATCAACTGTAACTGTCATTATCTGATTAGCAAACACGAACATCAGGGCAGGCAAAAGCCAAAGTAAGGAGCATGGTGGCTGAAAGGCGTGCTTGCGACGCTTGTTATAAGCGGAAGGTAATGGATTCACAACCCCGAGTCTCGTTTTTGAAAATGATAGTCCTATTCTGTTGCTTGTCACCTTGTTTCTCTCGTCTGATTCTGATTCTGATTCTCCCATTACCCTACAAACACCATCACGCCCAGACTTATGCACATATCCTCACGCTTATACCTGATGGGTGGTGGTAGATCCAATGCGATCGATCCGAACACGATGAACTATGCAACTGGTGCCGACACCATGATCTCCCCTGCACACTTAACCGAATTAGGGGCAGGAAGAAGAAAACTAAGTAAGTGCCTGTCACTGCTGTCTTCGCATTTCCGCTTACAAAGACTGTGTTGCAGGAGCTCAACCGAGAGTCTTGTCAAACGCCTTGAGCGAATAGAACAAGGCATAGCCAGGGCAAAGGCCATCAAGCAAGGCGTGCAGATACCTCCTGCTACTACTTCTGCTGCTGCTGCTACTTCTATTGCTACTGCTGTTACTGCGGCTCCCGCTGCCACATCTCCGGCCTCATTGGCTCCCTCTGACGGCTCCAGCCAATTTCATAGGAAGATTACCCACGGCAGGTGTACCCTCTGTCGATCCAATGACAACTCGCAGTCCCCTCGACAGCTTGGCGCTGCTCCCCTAGGTCAGGTCTGGTTTTCGGGCCAGAAGTTTGCTGCCATCTGTTCCCGGAATGGCATTCCCCATTTTACCTCTCTTGGAGAGCAGTGGATATACTCAAGAACAGGGCTATGGCCTCATTTCCGTAACGACGACGCTTTTGCTTTCAGGGAAACGGATCATGTCCCCTCTACGGCTTCGGCACTCCAGTCTTTGAAGGGTCCTGCGAAGCAGGCTGAGATCCAAAAGCTTCCGGAAAGATGGATTACACAGGCGTTGCTTGATACGTTTACAGCATCTGACTTTCGCCTCGTCTTCCCCGTGGTGGAACGCGAGTTATTCGAGGAAACAATACGAATAGCGTATGGTGCGCCAGTCACAGATGCGACGATTGAGGAGATTGGTAGTAAAGCCTGTGTGCTTGCGTTTCTTTGTGTCACTAGTCATCATTTTGCTACTCAGGATGCTGCCAAGCTTGTCGACAGTGATGCCTGTGCCAAGCAAGCGCAGCTGCTGATATCAGACTTTGTTGAAGACGCGAGCCTCACGACTTTGCAAGTAATGGTCATGCTGGTAAGTTCTCGATGACTAGGTATCCTGGTGTCACCTTTGATTCATCTCTGACTCTCCTAGTTCCTTAATGAGACACTATGCGGCCATTTACAGGGGGCGTGCATGTATCACTCTATTGCATGTCGTACCGTTTGTATCCTTGGAGGACACACTATCGCCAACGATCCACATAAAACCACCAACCTCACTTTCCAGGAGCTTGAAGAACGCCAAATCCGCCGACTCTTTTGGCTCTGCTATCTCTTTGACAAAGACATAGCTTTGAGAAACGGCCAGCCGCCCATCATCAGCGACGAATTTTGCGATCTTACCCTCCCTCAAGACTACATAGCAAACCGGTTCTCAGAAGAGGCTTTCTCAGCCACAACCAGTTCCCAGGTACCATTTCTCCCTAGCGACTTGCGTCTAAGTCTGCTTAAATCGAAGGCTGTCAGCGCCCTCTACTCCGCCGGCTCGCTACGAAAGTCGGATGCTGAGCTCCTCCGTACCATCCGTGAACTTGACGAAGACCTGGAAAACTGGCGCGCTTCAATTCCACCAGAATATGCACCCGCGTTGTCTATTCGCCAACATGTCAAGCTTGCTGATACTCTCAACATAAACACCAGTATGCTGCATATCGAGCTGCACTTGGACTACCACTATCTCCTGAACATGATACATTGTGCCAGTGGTCGATGTGTGGTAGACTGGAGCGAGTCTGGGAAGGAGATGATTTTCGGCTTACAGTCTAGTCTTGACTTATCCGTCGAGGCCAGTCGATCGACTCTGATCTATCTGAGAGAAGCTGCACCTCGACTGGCTGGAGAAGCGTTTTGGTGAGTTTATAGTTTTACTTCCTCTTCCTAAGAGTTTTGGCTTCGTTGTTCTAACGCAGTATACGCTAGGGTCTTCATCTTCTACCCTGTCTCGGCCCTTTTGAGCATATTCTTCAATCTTTTGCGAAATCCTCAACATGAATATGCTGAGCACGATATCGACCTGTTGGCCTCGGCCACCAAAGTCATTAGAAGCATGCCCATGCACAGAGTCACGACCCACGAACTCGAATACCTGCGTAGGATGGACGCGTTTATCGAAGAGCTCGGTCGGTTGTGTCAAGCAGCAACTGCAAAGGCTCGACATGAGCACGGTGGAGTAGAGTAACTACCAATGTACTCTGGGCTTATGCATGCATTTGGGGCGTTGACCTTTTCGTTTTGTCTACATCATGAATTTATATCTTCAGTGGCACATGATTATGGAGTGGGAAAGTACCTTAGACATAGAGATTTATTCACGTGGGGGTTCTTTGATTACTGTATTGACGAGTATACGCTTCTAGCATGCATAATTTTTACTGTATCATACTACATTTACTAATATATGATCCTGCTAAACATCATACTTCGTTCTTTTTCTAGATTGAGCTGAGACAAGTCCACCTCATTAAAAAACAAACAACAAGGAGGAGCCTGCATGAAGCAGAGGAGCCCAGAAAGTTATTTGTTGGTCAGGGTTCCTCGACGTGCTTCTGTGCTGTTTCTGTCTCTTCACAATCTGAATGATACCTCATCGATTGACCTCAGTAAGTGAAGTATAAAACGGCAGCTGAATTGACCAAGATGGTGATTATGAAACGAAGTTGAATAGCCGCATTCGAGCCAGTCCTAATGTCTTTTAGTAATATAGGATTTGTTCTCTTTAAAATTCTGTCCTGATTCATGTATGCTGTATGTTTGCAAAAGCCTTCATTGGTGTCTATTCAAGAGTGATGAGTTGACGTGCCATGATCACAGGCAACCGATCGATATAGTGTCAATTATTGGCCGTAACTATATATTCATAGTGTTTGCCAACAATCTGTTCAACCTACAGAGAACTCTTTTCTCTTGGCAAATCCCTTTCAGTTTCCACCATAAATTATTATCTCGGACTCTTCATGATGAGTTAAACAGCCAGTAGAAGGGATTCCTTCGAATAGTTCGCTCTTTATCACAACATTACTCTGACTCCGTGATAGAATGGCTGCTAAAACTTTACAGCCAGCTTACCATAGCCAAACACAAACTTGACAGATTTCCAACTGGTACTCTTCTTTCCAACGAGCATCTGAATTTGCTACTTTTTGTTCACGGAGCAGATCTCAGGGTTGGTGAAGCCAATATGGTTGACTTGGAAGGTCAAGGCAACCCTCAAAAACATATATACAAATTGCGTGTCAGGCGATATGTGAGGTGAGCCAAAATTGATCACATGAGGGAGATTGCCCCTTGTTTAATCAGACTCCTATCCGCTCTCTGTCTACCATGATACTACTATGCCGTGCTAGATGTCACTGAGGAATCATACTCTGAAACTGGTAGCAACCCATAATGGTTTACGTCTAGGTAAGTAATTCTTCCTATGTTATAAAATCCCTGGGGAAAAAGCCGTTTTAACAGTGTTCAAGCTCAGCTTGGAGAGATTCAATCCATTCGAATAGGTGTTTACTGACCACTTTTGGGTTCAAGATTTGTAATATTACAAATTTCCCGATATTTCATCCAGATCCCACATTTTCTCACTCCATCATGCCATTGGTCGATATAAGCACAAATCTGCCTGGTGACTAGATTCTGAAGAGTGAGCTACTTATGGATACAGTTTGCACATGCCATGTCCAGCGCTGCCGTCAAATCAATCAAATCAAATCCGGTACCCGGATTTAATTGATTGATAGAAAATGAAGGCATCATTTGATTGATTTGATTAATTGATCAAATATTTGATAGATTTGATAGAAATTTGCCGATTTTTATGACTTTTTTTCGCGATTTTTCGCGACTTTTTTCGCGATTTTTCGTAATTTTAGACCCCTGTCTAGACCCCTGTCTAGACCCCTGTCTAGACTTGGTTATCTTATCTTATCTTATCATCTTAATTATATAAGATCTTGGGAACTGCCCTTATCTTATCATACTATAATTTTCGATACCCTAGAGTTATTTGAAATGTATCAAATCTATCAAATAATTGGTCTTGAAGATTTGATTGATTGATAGATTTGACAAATATATTTGATTTGACGGCAGCGCTGGCCATGTCCTCACTCTGCAGCACTGCGTAAACGAGCCAACTTCACATTCGAGTGTCTCGCCACTTCCAACTAAGGGCTCATAAGTACATGCAATTCCCTTGGGATGACTTGGCCATGACAAAGTGGTCCTTGTCAAGGCTGATTGGGAACACTGTCTTTTCTTATTTTGTCTCAAGTCAAGAGTATTCATGGCAAACCCCTGATACTGGTGGACCCTTGGAGACCCCGAAGGAAGAACATGAAGAAGATGTCACAAATGATTAGTGATAACAATATTGAAAGTGTTACTGTGTTGATGGAAACAAGACTGGCTAGCAATGGATATAAATAAATTGACAGCAACTGCATATGTACAGTACAGACAGGCGCGGTGTGTTGAAATGCAAAAAAAGAAATTCTCAGACGGCTATTGAGGTACATCTTTCAACACTCCCACTAGCTCAATAGACGTTGGCTCTAAACATTGGCTCTTACTGGCTCAGCGGCTCTTACTGGCAACGGCTCAAGTCTACCCTAGCTGTGGTGTGGACCTCAACAACCCCTGGAATCTGGCAATTTCTTTTGTGACGAACGGCCTCGAACGCGCTTCGAACGTGCGACCTCGCGACAACCAACGAGACGCTAAACTGCTACGCTATTCTGCTCATAACCTGTAGAAATGCAAAAAACGGTATTTTCCTGAAGGCTGTTGAGGTTTATATGTCGAAACGGTGTTTATATCCAAGGTCATACACTATTACCTAATCGGGCAATCGTTCTGCATGTGATTCATCAAGGCTACCGCAATGGACACAGGCTCATGTTTGTGTTTAATCATTTGTCATTAGGATTCAAAAGTTGTCATTAGCTCGTAAATAAAATGAGAGAATAGCCTGGGATTTATGAAAGACATTTTCAAGTTTGTTCCCAAAAGCAATGCTGTAAACGAGACTACCCACTCGTCTATACTTAAGGTACTTGCCTATCCAATCTCCATCACTTGCCCTCTCCATAAATACAGCCTTTATTTCCATCCTTGATAGACAGCAGTGGGCTACGAAGACTCCAAGTGCATATGTATACAAAACTAAGCAAAGCCATTGTTTTATTCAAAGTTTATCGATAGCAGTTACCCAAATTGCATTTTGCGGTTGAGTAAGCAAAAAACTTTCTAGGTTTGGTACATTAGAGATCACTATGCAGCCGAAATTCCTGCTGTTTGAATGACAACGAAAAGAAACAAGTTGATGATCCAATGAAAGGGAAAGGCTGGATTAATAATAAAGAAGCTTTCTAATAGTAGCTAGAATGAACAAGTCTTATCCACCGTAAGTTGTGTAACCCGTTTTATCCCTATGCAGATGCCTCGATGAATAAAAATAATATGTACAAGAATCGCATCCTCAATGATGCCCGAATCGAATGTCCAGTTAAGGAGTAGCAGTTGCAACGATTTTCTGCTCTCCGCTAGTTCGCTTCACGCTGTCGTACTCCCCAGCAGAAGGTCGCGTCTTCCGCCTCTCCAAAAACTCCAGGATAGCAAGAACGGTTGTCGTAAGTTGAACCAAGAATAGCGGAATCAAGTTGTATTGCCATCCTCTCATGATTCGCAGATGGTTGGCAATATCGTTTCGCTGGCTTTCATCCGCCAGATCGAGCTTCAACATGGCTGGGAACCAGTTTTGAGGCGTCCACGTATCGAGAGCGTACTTGTGGTTGCCGGTTTTCGAGGCGGCGTCAAGATCGATAGTCTGTCCTTTATGCGCATTCGTAACAGAAAAGACATAGCCGAGAGATCCAATGGTGAGCATGAGGCCGAGGACGAGAATGACAAGCCAGGCACCGTAGAAAAAGGACGTGGCTTTCGCTCCGATGATGTTGGGTCGGCTTCTAAGGAAAAGAACGAGAGAGCCCCCTATGCAAATGAGGACGATTGCTGTTCCCGCGGCGCCGTTGCTAGAGTGCCCTTGGTCGACCAAGAAATGTTTCGGTATGCCATAGAGATCGAAAGTCGAGCCGTTGAAGTTGACAGCAAATGTGCCGCTGGCAGTGTTGTGTAGCCATGCCACCATGCTGGTGATGAAAGCCAGTTCGAGGACGGCATCAATCAGCAGCACGCCCAGAGCGACAACGAGATAGGTAAAGAGTGCCATCTTGACGAAAAACACAGTTTGCTTCACTGCAGTCGGCGATTCAACAATGAAAGAGAGAGAAAAGCCTGACTGGTAGCCCACCAACTAACTGACTAGAGAGAGATCACATCTTATATTATATTTTAGGCCTTACGATGTCCGTACCAAAATCCCCGTTTGATAGCCCAATCGCCGTTGGCCCCATGTTAGTGCTGACCGGGTGGAATCAGTGGCTGAGGTACTAGCCAACGCCAAAGGCAAGCTTCCCTGCTTACAACCATCGGTAAGGCGCAGACAAGATACCTGACCATGTGTAAACGGCTGAACCCAACGTCCCGAAGGATTGGCAGTGGACCAGTACGCATACTCTAAATTTCCGGAGTTTGCCTTACCGCTGGGGGCCGTGGACCTGGAAGCAGCAGAGCCGCATAAGCGTTCTCATGACGGAAGGCTTTTGGGTTCCACTAGGATCCTTGGAGCTAGAAGAGTTTTCTGAATGTGAGAAACTACAGTATAACTACATGTGCCCTGCTGAACATGAGAATTGACTGCCAGGGTCGGACCAACCCAAGCCATGTCCAACCCACCCAACTTCAGAGGTTTAAGCTTGTTTTGGTCTTGTAGAAATCCGTAAAGAGAGTTTGTAGATGATGACATTGTTCACTGATGGCTAGTTGTATTTACACGAGTGGCTGTTGAGTTGAAGGAGCGCCCGCATAACCTGTTTAGTTACTGATTCCCGTTAACACGCATACAGTTTGCCAAACGCTACCATTCCGGCCATTCACAGCTGAACATGACAGTGAGTTGCGCAAAATCCGTGTAATCTGCGGGTTTCCTACTTCATGCACGGATTCGGCGAATTCCTTGTTTTTCTGGAGGCATGGATGAATCTTGTTGGTAGCCTTGCCTCGTATCTGTACACAGCCGTTCCCGTGCAAACGCACACTGTACTACGCTATTGTCTTGACGTTGGCTCGCCCTGTAGTTGAGCTGGGGTACCACAGCAAGGCTCAAGACTGATTCCTCTCAGAGGCATCATTCCCAAGAACTCGCAATTTCGGCTGTGCCGGTTCTGGACAGGCGAGCAGTGCTTTTGCCTTCTCCGCATCTGGTCTGAACGAATTGGAGGCATGGAGCGGCCCGGCCATCGTGCTAGTTGCCTGTAGGTTGTAAGGAGAAGATGAGCCACTTGTACGAAAGTGCAGGGGTATTTCAAGGGCAACGGCTTATGGCATAGCTGATAAATAGCGGCCGCTGACTGCTATAAATAAGGCAAACAGCTGTAGCTTTGAAAATCCGCCATCCACGATTGGACCAAAACCACAGTTTACGTAGGCTCGCATGTTCAAGGTGGAATTTCACTTTGCAGGCAAAATCCATCGCGTAGCGTCCTGCTCCATAACGCAAGCGGAAGTTTTTTCTCATAAAGGCATACAAGTCGCACGATGAAATTGAAGAAGCTTATGTCATGCACTGTACGAGTTTACGATCGGGAGGGGATTCCGTGACACCACAGTCGGCCTAACGAATCTACCCGAGCCTAACAACCATATCTAAGAATATCTCACGATCTCATGATCAGTTGCATGTGGAAGCGTAAACAATCTAGTTATGCTGCATAGGGAAGCCTTCCCATATGTGAGGGCACTACTTTGAAATATTGGGTTTTAAACTCCAGACGAAGATGTTGATTCCATGCTTTAGATGTTCTGGTTTATGCATTCATCGGCATCTTGCCGGTTGTATTTAACCAGTATTTACATTGACCAGCAGAAAGCTTCTGGGTATTCATGGATTTCTATTTCAGATCTTATAGATGTCATGTCATTCGTAAATTATCGATTTGTGCGATGACCTGTGATTTAAGGGGAGACAGGACCTTAACTTAGTACCCGCAGACAGGGAGCTTGTACCCCAGGCTTATTTCTCCTGAAGTTTCTTTAACCACGATGGGAAATTTGTCCGCCAGAGCACCTGCTATTACAAGGTTGATGTCAGGCACAATGCCGAGGTTCTGGAACGCGGTTGCTACGCACAGCGACATTTGAAAGACAATACTCCATTTTTGTTCTCACCAACGAAAGACCTCCATTACCCTGAACCCAGCATCAACAGGTTACAGAATGAACAGCACATCTGTTTGTAGCTAACTATAGCAATTTTCGTTGGCCGTGTGTTGTAGTGTATGTGATACATGCATAGAGTCGAAAGAACATACTGAAGAGGTACAACGCCACTTGTAATGCTCATCCAAGTAGCTTCTTTGTTGTAAGCTCACTCTACCAATGGGGCTCAGCAATTGCTCGTTGCGCACCTGATGGGTCTCAATATAACTTTTGGCTAAGCCTAACGTTGTGAAACTCGACCGAATTCTGTCTGACGCGGAGATGAAATTCTCCCGCTCATTTACAGAGAGAATGCTTCAATACTCAATGTAATCTAATCGCGTCATATCTGCCTTGGATTCCTTGTTGTGCAACGTCTCGACGAACTACAATTAGACTCTTATCAACACTGGCGTTTTACACGAGAACAGGGTTAACATGAAAGGTTGAAGAATATAATTATATATTTAGCATCACTGCGTGTTACACACTCTCCGTTGTGCAATAATGTGATGATGAGTTGGAGGAGTCAGTACCACCGCAACACACGAAAATCATGACTAGAAGATATTAATGACGACAAATGCGGTGACATGATCGCCCTTTAGTGCGGCATGTCATATAAAAATAGATCAGGCAAATCAGGGTTGATAAATGGCAGATGTTCGAAAATAATTACCGCTTTAGGAAACTAAGCACCGAACTCTCTTCCATGGTGGTGCCGCGCGGTTGATCAATATGGCTTAATTGTTGCTAAAATTGAAGACATTGCCACAGAAAAGCCGCTGGCCAGTTAATGCCTGGAATCGCTGTGTGCATGCTGAGAGAATTCAACTCTGTCTTGTGTAGCTAGACACTTCAACTTTATCACCGCACGCTGGTTGCTACAGTACAGGTAAGCACACAATTCGTCACAGCTAGAGAGAAAGAAAACAGAGCATCACTCAAACATCTTGCTAAGACATCTAGAGAAATCTCAGTTCTATAGTAGGTAAATAAAGGGAGTGGCTATTCAGCACTCCAAGTTTGCTATCCCACATCCTGTATTCCAAATTTAAAGCTAGCGATGATACCATATACTAGGGGCAAGTAGCAGAAAGTATTGGTAGCAACAGAGAACTCAAGGAATTGGTATCTACTACCTAGGTAGTCAATAAAGTGCGTTCCTTTGCATCTTACCCTGAATCTTGAACTCCAGAAAGTCGATGGGATGCTAAATGGTTACTCGCGTAAAATATCACCTTTGATATCTGCTCAGCTCAACGAGGAAGACGGCTATGGGCAATTGCTTTTTCCCTTTCCGCCGATGCTAACGTTCCAACTGTAATCTAGCCATATCAGAGTGATTGACCAAGTATACGGTGATTGCTGCCTACTTGAGGCTCTGCATAGCCAATGCGAGAATTAATATGCCTTTCCAAAATTTCATCGTGCGTTTGGCAGCTGGAAAGCAGACTGAACATTTCTCAATAATAGAAGTTTAACAGCAATTATGATAAGCGGTTTGCATGGTAGGTTATAATAGCTGTCTTTGAAGACGATGTAGGGTATTGATTTCAAGCTCACGTATGGGAGCAGGAAGGCTGTGCTAGGCTGTGTACTAGGCTTCACCCAGGCAGCAGAAAAAGGCCTCCCAAATGCTAAAATCATCACATCTCATACTAGATGCGTTCAATTTCTCTATTTATTCACTCTACTCTGCAACAGAAGTTTTCTTCGCTCAACTGTTCTCCAAGACCTTATTCCCCTGCCTTGATGCTTGGAATTTCACCGTAGGGATTGAGCTCAATGGATTTCCTTACTGAAGCCTTGAAGCCTATTCCGGCTGGTGGTTGGTTGGGGCGGGCCCGCTCTGGAATATTGTGGAGTGAGGGCGTTCATTCATGTAAGTAACACTGCGATACTATGGTATTCGCTAATACGACTCTTTGTATGGATAGATACTAAATGGATACAATAGGGCTACATCTTCATCGTGAATGAATGCGACCGAGACCTCGCCGCGGCAAAGCTGCTGGATGCCGGATGCATTCGCGCAGACTGGTCATGGGGCTCCACCGACCCGGCCACGCTACAGACATTGGATGATAACGCACAACGTATACACAAAAAGTCGATCCCGGAATATGAAGATGTTGACAATAATTCCATTCGCTTTGTATTTCCTCCAGAGCGTGTCAGCATCATGAACGAGCCTATTGCCCTCGTCCTTCCTTCCTTCGTGGGGCATGGTCCACCACGGACAGCAGCCTTAGGAAGCAGAGAGCCAGCTCAAAGAGAGACACAGAACTACGAGAACTCAACACGGCTTCACAAGTCCCCACAAGCAGAGGCATTAGTTCAAGAAGAAGACATGCTTCAAGAGGACACGCCTCAAGAAGTCACGTCTTCAGCAGCCACGCCTCAAGAGGACATACCCCAAGAAGACAAACCTCAAGAAGACACGCCTCAAGAAGACACGCTCCAAGAAGACACGCCCCAAGAAGAAAACATTCAGGAAGACATCCCTCAAGAAGACAAACTTCAAGAAGACATCCCTCAAGAAGACAAACTTCAAGAAGACATCCCTCAAGAAGACAAACTTCAAGAAGACATCCCTCAAGAAGACAAACTTCAGGAAGACAAATCCCAAGAAGACGAATCCCAAGAAGACAAATCCCAAGAAGACAAATCCCAAGAAGACAAATCCCAAGAAGACAAATCCCAAGAAGACAAATCCCAAGAAGATAGGCTCCAAGAAGACAGGCATCAAGAAGCCGCAACACTTTTAGAGCCTCAGACGCTTTCAGAGCAGGGATCACATCCGGATCTAGAGAGTTTACAGCCAACAAAGAGCCAGCAGAACTCGGAACTCGTACAAGATATAACGAATACACCAGACATAGAAGAGCTGCAAGGCGGAGAGGAACTTCAGCATAATGCAGCAGATGATTCCAAGTTCACATGCGTCGATGGTTTCCTCTATTACCCGCGTCTCCCAGTTCTACTCGAAACTATAATTCGTGCCCGATTGCGCGTCCCTGAAGAGAAGGTAAGCTATTGGGCGACCATGCTGGAAGTTTGGGCCATCCCCTATCTTTGGGCACAGACCATGGCACCAGAGGATGTTCTTGACGGAATTGAAGACGAAGAGGTCAAAGCTTGGTTCAACAAAGCAACCAAAAGGTTCGAAGGTGGCATTGACCGCGTCACTAATACCAAGAGGAAGGGAAGGGTGGCAACTACCAGGCCCCCGGTTGATTTGGATACACTATTCGATTAGCCTTTGGACGATGCTTAGATAGTTGAACGAAAAAGACTTTACTCCGGGCAATAAATAAGATATTGCCGAGATACCCCTCACAGCATGCACAGTATTAACTGAACTTTTCTCATGCAGACGGTATATTTCTCCTGCATAGATTCATTTTTTGTCACTGCGCTCGATGTTTCAAATCGTGTCTGAGACCTTTACGCGCTTTGTTCGTCAAGTGAAGTAAAGGGAATGAGCAATAAGAATGGTATTCCATTCCACCAGTTCTTGAGATTCACAGATGACTCTTCTAGGGTAAACGTTTGATGTTATGATTGCATTTCCTAATTACCATTATACATGTACACTAATTTACAAAGCCACATCCATTAAATATGGGTTCGACTGTCTCTACGCTGACCTCGTTGCCGCCTGCTCTCGGCCGACAGACACTCCTGCAGCCTATCTGCAAGCTTTTCTAATATCCATTCACTCTCCCCTTGGCTTCCCATCAAAGGGCTGCGATGGCCAACCCACGACCATTTCACAGGCTCTTCATTTGCACTTGCCTCGGGAGAATTATCATTGTGCTTCTTTGCCTTGATCTTCGCTTTAGCATGCGTGTAAGCACTATGCTCGTCTTCACCAATTAGTTTCAGATACCACGCCCATTCGTCAAAATCGTAGTGGTGATTCTTGGACTCCTTCAGATGACTAGCAACAACTCTAATCTCAGAAATGAGGAGGAAATGCAAATCAGCCCCTGTGGGAATCTTTTGGTGTCTGCTGCGAAGGCGGGATAGAGATCGTCGAACTTTGGAGGTGAAGCTTGACGCTTGTGAAGCATGGCGCACATTCGCGGGCCGACCTCTCTCATCTTCCTGATCACCTGTCTCATCTCCGTTCTCATCTCTCTCATCTTCTCTCTCTTGTTCAGAAAGTTCTTCTTCCTCGAGCTGGTCCATAATGTTGGCCAGCCGCTGGAGGTGATGCCTCTTCGAATCCACAATTAATGGATCTGTAGTTTCGTAATGGGCTTGAAAGAACTTCCCAAGAGTCATTCGACTGATGAGATGCTTGAGACTAGCCATGTAAGATTCTTCACCAGGCAGAATGGTGACATTTCCTAGACGGATGGTGCTGTCTTTGATGATCTTTACGACGGTGTCGCCTGCATGAGAGATGAGCACCGTGATGGTGGGCAAAGCCATGAGGGACCAAAAAACAAAAAAGGATTTCCCGGCATTAGACACGGGCGTAAAATCGCCATAGCCGATGGTTGTCCATGCTATGAACGAGAAGTAAAAAGCGTCAAAGTATGTCCAGTTTTGGTAGCGCTTCTCTGCCTGCATGAATACCACGGCGCCCACCAGCCAAAACACGAGCCATACCATGACAGACGTGGCTAGAGCCATCCATTTTCTTCGCGTGGATGTCATGGCTTGAATCTTGCGCATCAGGGCAAACTCTGCCTTGCGTCGCTCATATTCGCTGTTGATGCTTTTGTTGCTTTTGTTGCTTTTATCCGTCGGCGTGCGTGGCAATTCGGGCTCTTCTTGGATGGGTTCTAGAAGATCGTCATTCCCCTTCTGTGAGATGCTGCGAACAGTTCTCCTTCTCTTCTTTTCCTCCATACGTGCCAGGAGTCTACGTTTCCCGCCTTCGAGAGTAAGGTGCCTAACAGATCCAATGACCAAACCCAGGCTTATTATTCCAATGATGGCGTATGGAATCATCAGTGCCTTTGCAAGATTTGTCGTAGGAGTAAAGTCACCAAAGCCAACAGTGAAGAGAGTGACATCTGCCCAGTATACGGCATCTAGAAATCGCCAGCCTTCAATGTTGCTGAAAACGACAGCCCCAACATGGAGATATATAAGCAACGAGATAGTCTGCAGCATGAGAGTGCGTTGGCTTAGAGTCAGGATAAAATCTTTTGGGTAGTGACCGGACATGGCTCCCCAAAATGTGATGCTCATAAGTGTTGCCACGATAAAGTAGAGAATGGCTGCCCAGATACCGTAATAAAATGATTGAGACCAGATCATCTCCTCCCGAGGGAAAGGAAGGTCTTCAATAAGAGGCCCAGCGCCTGTACAAAGCAGGCAAATTAGGACAATGGCAGAGAAATACCTGTTGCAGCATTAGCACCATTGCATTGGTTCATCATGGGATTGTGCGCTTCGTACCATCCAACTATGGTAATAGGCTGTGCTATACCGAAGCGAATTCTCCTTGCCATATTAAAGAGTAGGAAGAAGTTGGATATAAGGGCAATGCCCAGCTGAACAGCGTTCACTGCCGTTAACCTATATACGAAAAGTCAGAAACATTTATTGCGGCTGGGGATCGTAGATGGGAATACATACCATGCTGGATCGGGGATGTATGGCGCTGAGTCAGGGTCTCCTCCTTGGATGAAGTGCTGCCTCCATGGCGAAACCAAAGCACAGATGCTGAATGCTGAAGCTATGGGGCCAATTGTGCCGGCAATCATGGGAAAGACAGAAGATAGGAACCACCATCGGCTAAGTAACCAGCGTTAGCGGACAGTCACCTTTATTGGCTAACTCTTCCTTCCGGTTACTCACGTGGGTTGTAGGTGACAATTGTCGTTCTCAATCTTCGACTTGCCACGATAGGAAGTCTCATCGAAGTGAGCAATTGTGTGGCGGTCCTCGCCAACCACTCCATTTCTAGCGTTGCGCGTCTTATCAGGACTAAGAGTCTCATTGAGTTGAGCTTCCAGGTCGTGGTCCTTGCCAAGAGCCCCATTTCTTCTGTTGCGCGGTGGTGGCGACATTTCTGCGGCTCCTGTTCAATGGCTGTGTGGCGGTCAGGACGAGGGCTCGTAGCTCTCTTGCGGAGAGGAAAGCTCTTATGCTATCTCCACATCCACTTCATGTGTTTTGACAGAGTCGAATGAGCCAAGAGTATTGAGCTGAGGCGATTGAAGAAATTGGCTATTCGGCTGAGCTAGTCGCGGAGAGAGAATGAAACGAAGGGTATCGGCGGGATGGTCGGGGCCCTAGCCATATCCCGCAACCGGATTCGTCTTAATACACGTGTTTCTGTGAGATGTCTTGGCACGAAGCGAACAGTCGAGCTGAGTTGATTCATAAAGACAATTGTGCTCTTGGCAGATGATGCCGAATGTTTTTGAAGAAGTTTTTGATGGCGATCATTTCAAAATTGATAAGCGGCAGATGACGTCGTGGAACCGGCTTAGCGACAGTCGGGGAGCCTCACATGGTGCAGAACGCGCATTTCCTTGGAAGCAGCCAGATCTTAGCGCTGCCGATGCACCGAAAGGCCCTATTGGGGTTTAGTTGCAGCATTTGGGCTCGTAAATCGGGCGATGATTACCGGGATCGTTTTGGAAGCAACAGTGCAGAGGTGAGATTGTTCACGATGACGGATTCAATAAAGTCAAAGAAATATCATGGAGGAGAGGTGAGAGGTTGAGTTTAACCAGTGCTGTATTTTTCTTTCGTTGGATACCTGAGGTGTCGATCTGGGTTATCGATAATGCTCTTCAACAATCTAGATATTAAAGGAAGGCACAACATCCATCCGTCCATGTCTTTCATAAACCTCCAATGACGCAGCCTTAACAAATCCAAAACCATATCGCATCGCTATTCTTCCTGTTTATAAACTCCGTCGCTAAAAATTGAACCAGGCACTTGTTACCAGGGGATGCATCAAATCACACCAGCAGCGGATAGTCGCCAATCTCCGCCATGGCATCCCGTAAAGTCCACTCTGCCAGTGGATCTTCGTGTCTCTTGGTCCAGCAATGCCTCAATATGCGCTGCACGCTCTCGCAGTTGCCAAAGTTAGTCTCCGCTGTGCTCAGGATCCGAGTCATGAGACGCTCGAAAAATGGCTGCTGATCTGGTCGAGCCATCGATCCCGCCAGGCAGATGGTCCAAACTACGCCTCGAAGCGACACCTTCTCAGGGGCCTGCTCAAGCTCCTTTATCACGGCTGCAACAGCGCCGTGGATATCGGCCTCGGCGGGGTGAGTCGTTGAGAGGATCAGGTGGAGATGCACGAGGGCTCCAGCTGCAAACACTCGCGATATGTAGCATGAAACTGGGGCATTGGGCTGCGATAGATTGTCAGTATGGCTGGTGGTGATGGGATAGACCTCAACAAAGGATCAAGGGCAAACGAACATGACGGCTTTGCACACGCAACTCCTCAATGCCATCTCGCAGCATCTTCTCGATGTTGGCCAGCGATGCTCGCCTCTCGTCCAAGCCGGGGAAGTCGATTCCTGCCCCGATCATGGACAAGTCTCCAATAAGTCGCATCACCCAATTCTGACAACCGACAAAGTCTGCCATGAGAATTTCTTCCGAGTCAAGCCATTGTCGATAGGGCATGCGGGGAGGTATGCCGGACGAGGCTGTCGACAGGATTTCGAACCAAAGCAGCTTTGTGATTTCAAAACGCCTTGCGTACTTCATCCCACGCCGGAGAGACGAGCCTGGGCCGCTCGGCGCGTATGGTGGTGTCGACTCGTCATCATCTGAGTCTTCGAATGGCGGTAATCTAATCTTGCTTGCAACAGTTGTAAGGGCGTCAAGGTGAGTCTGCCAGCCCCTTGAGCCGCCTTGCAACACCTATACCATGCGCCCAAGTTAGGAGGATGAATTCGTTTTTACACACACACTTTGAAGTTACACATGGTCACTCATACGAACCTCAAAGCTAATTAGACAGCAGCCGCTGGAGATGAAGGTGATGAGCCTCTCGCCGACATCTAGTGCAAGATCGCCTTCATTCCCCGATAGTGCATGTCGCATGGCACTCAATGCAGTGGTGTGATACTCTATCAGTTCCGCTTCCATGTACTCGGTTCCCCGCGCAAACTTGGTTCGCTGATACAGTGCAGCCAAAGTCAGCGAGGCTTGTCGGAGCGGACGATTGTTCATCAACAACCAGAAGAGCCAACCACGGCCGCCGAGCTCTGCTTTGTCAGTGTAGTACGGATACTGGATGAAGAAGATGTAGTCCAGATA